GTGGGGAATAAGAATACACAACTCCAAAGAATACATTAAATACCACTGATTTGTACACTCTAATAAAAGGATAGACTTTATGATATGCAAATTATGTCTCACTGAAACTTAAAGGAATTCTCAAAACAGCTATACAAGAATTCTTGCTCTAAACCCCAGGGTTGTGAAGTTAATATTGTATTAATGTAATACTACACCTTTGATATGTTAAGTGGCAAAAGGGATTTTATACAGTTAAGCATAAAATCACAAACACTTTAAAACATGCTGTTAACAGAAAATGAAATTAAAAGAGATTTGAAACAAAAGGATTTTTAATGCTGTTGCTTACCTAAGATGAGTGGGACCATTAGAAAGGAAATACAGTTGTACTTGGTATTTGCTGTAATTGGTTCTAGATGCAGCAAACACCAAAAAACAAAAAATGAGAACCAAAAAGATTTTTTAACTGGAGAGGTCACAAGGCAATCAACACTGACAAGTTCTAGATTTTAAGTATAGTGCTAATAACAAATAGTAGGAGAAAACTCACATCAAAGTTTGTCACATATCAAACGATGAGCAAAGCAATCAAGTACCAAGTTAGGACTGTCCAAATGATCTCTGGAAACTCAGAGTGCCCCTAACTGACAAGTAAGAAACTAGAGGCTGCAGTCCTACAACCCGAGCAATTAAAATCTGTCCAAAACAGGAATGGGCTTTCAAGATGACCTCAAACTCCCAGTGCAAACAGAGCAGCTCATAGTAGAGCAGCACATGAAGCTTATAGATCACTGATTGCAGTCTAAATGGTACCAGCGTGCTGTGCCAGACTTCCGAGCTCCAGAACTGACCTACTGAATAGGTGTTTAAAGCTGTAATTTGTGGTAATTGCTCAGCAAAAGAAAACTAATACGTTGTCCTCTTCGAATAGTCTTTCTAGCCACAAAGATACCTAATTTACATTTGCTACTCAGGTTCATTAAAAGCATATAATGTTTCATCTTCCATCCCAAAGCTTCTCATATTTTGTCTGGCTTTGTGGCCACAGTTCTTAAATAATGTAAATGACAACTTCTTGTGGTCTCTCCTGTTTTAGCAAGTCACTTTTTCTAAGCCCACAAAACCAAACTACTTATATCTTTCAGCATTATTTTTTGCAAGCTTTAGAATGCACTCCAGATTAAGGCTAAAAATTCACTTCAGCTAGGTAAGGCAAAAGGGATTTGTTAAGGGTCGTTAGCCTACAAAATCATTGGGGGAGCCAAGGAAAGCAAACTACATAGTGGGAACTTTATGCATAAGAGAAATGTTAAGTAGGAAGTACCTGCAGCTTAATGTAAAAAAGAAGCTGGGAGTTTAGAAATTACTACTACCACTGCAACAATCAACCCTGTGAGGTTGAAACACTTTTGAAATTATGCTTATGAGAAGAGCCAGTCTCTCCATGTGCCCTCTACCTCACCTGCTTATTCTCTTTTTCCAGATTTTTTGAGCATAGGTTCACCAACAATGTGGTCTTTGTGTTCAGTACCATTCAATTTAACACGTGATTTTTACATGTTTTCTTGTTTAAGTAGCAACAGTGTCTTCTACTTAAATTTTTAATATTTGGCAGTGATTCCCCAAGCTGAGGACATAGGAGGTCCTCGTTAAATGCAGATGTTGCTGACTCAGATTATAAAGCTGTAGTATGTCCTGGTTATGTATTTCTGGGTGACCACTCCAAAACATAGTAGCTTGAAAAAATGACTGACTCTCCATATTGAGGAACACAGAGAGCCAGACATGTGGCTACTGAAGCCACATAATTCTAGTCCCAGCTGCTTTTTGACTGCAAATAGTTGAGAGATCCAAAATGAGCACTACGTCAGTTAAATCCAATCAATCCACACAACTAGGAAAGTTAGTCACTGTTTAAAGCCACTATGTAAAAAACATGAAAACGGCTTGGGACTCAAAGGAGAAAGGAAATCGCCTGTCTTATAGAAGTTTAAATCTAAAATAAACAGCATATGTGTGCTATATTTTATTGGTCAGAGGAGTTTGAGGCCAAATTCAAATTAAAGGAAGTGGAGAAATAGACTCCAGCTCCCAATGAAGAAATGGAATGGGCATGTGGGGAAGGAAGGGATAGCCCCCAACTTGAGAGTAAACTACCAGAAAGAGTGAGTAATTGTGTATATCCTCTTGCAATCTTACATATCTTACAACTTTACACACCAGAATACTCTTACAATACAGTATCAGTCTGTAAGCAACTGGGTCATTGGCAAAGAATTATTCTACGCTAGTGCACATGAACTAGTAAGTTGCTAAGACTGATTGGACTACATTTTCATAGAATAATATGTAAAGAGCTGAACCAAGGAGAACACATCAACATTTGCACATAAACCCCTCTCAATTAAAACTATATATGAGTGTCAGAGAATTCGTTTTCTGGATTAACCTTTCAGTTTCAGTGTTCTTAACATTTATTATGGACTGGAAATAAAGCTCAGTGGTGTAACACTTCTTGGCACATACAAGGCCCTGGTTTCAAGCCTCAGCATGGCATACATACATAAATGTTACCCATTTATTCACTATGTTGGCTTTAGTGAAACAGAGTCAAGTGGGACCACTTTTGAAGGGACAGATAGCATATTTCATCCTACCCTAATCAGGGACAAAGCAGAGATTCATCCACACCTAATTGAAGCTCAAAGTGTTTTTTCTTTTCTTTTTTTTTTTTTTTTGTCTTTTTCATTTTTATCGGTACCAGGGATCAAACTCGTGACTGCCTGCTTGCAAGGCAGGTGCTTATGCCGCTGAGCTAAATCCCCAGCCCCCAAAGTGTTTTTTCACAATGGAACTTTGTTTCCCATGTTTTACAAAGGGTATTGAACAGAAGGCCAAAAAAATGCTTTTGGTGTGTATGTGTAATTATGTACTACTTTTCATTTTTCCCAAAGCACTTTTACTTCTGCTCTCCTACCAAGGGAAGTAACAGAATTCTGTTCTACTGAAGGCTAAGAGAAGTGAAGATTCATCTCAGGTCATGGGTCATACAGCTTACCCAGTATATAAAGAAAGACCAGATGAGGTGGAGTCAAGAATTCATAGTTGCTATATTCCTGAACCCCAAGATGTGAATGTACTAATAACTTGGAGGAGACTTTATGTGCATAGAAAGGGTACTACACAATTATGGAATCAATGAACCACATAAAAGAAGTTTGCCATATTTCTAGAAGTTTTTTTTAAATTAATGAATTTTATCTACAGTTGCGTAGGCCTCATGGTAAATAATCAATATATAGTTCAAAATAGAATATAATTAAGTTAACATACGTAGTGCAGACCCTGTATGAGATTGGATGATATATCAGGAAAATTGGAGATCATTATGAGTTGGAATAAAAAGAAATAGTTCCATGGAGGAGGTAGAACTAGCCTTAATTATGAGTAGGACTTGAATAGATGAAGAGAAACATTGGCCATACAGATATATGTGTCAGGAATGGGGTGCAGCATAACTGAATATGAGTACCGATTTGGTTTTTGAAAAGTTGCAGGAATTAACACAATCAGGGAACTGACAGTAGTGAAGCAAAGGATTTGGACTATGGAAGAAAATAAAATCAGAAAATACAGTAGGTCCTCAATCTTCCAAAGCAAAGAGAGATCTAAGCAGTATTAAATAGGAAACGGGCCTAAGCGTAGGCCCAGGTGGTATGCTGAGGATGGGTCAAAGCAGGAAGAAATTTCATGGCTGTAATTTCGTTAAGGTTTGCTGTGACCATGGTGTAAAACAAAAGTAACAGTGGGAAAAATTACCCAGTATCATAAAGAGAAAAGGTACATAGGCTTTAGATTAGTTTGCTAAGGCTGCTAGAAAAACATGGTATGGTTTAGAACAACAGAAATTTATTCTCACAGTTGTGGAGTACTAAAATCTGAGGTCAAGGTGTCACCAGAGCCTTGTTCATTCTGAAACTTGCCCGAGATAGATCCTACCTTTACCTAGTAGTTTACCAGCAATATTTGGCATATTTTGTCTAATAGGTGCTTCACTTCAGTCTTCTGTTTTCTCAATGCCATATATCCTCTTTACATGGTGTTCTTTCTGGTATAAATAGGGCACCAATTATAGTGGACTGGAAGTCTGCCCTACTCCCATATGACACGTCTAAACCAGTTACACCTGCAACAACCCTATTTCCAAATAAGATCATATTGTGAAGTCTTGGGGTTAGAACTTCAACATAACTCTTGTGGAAATGATGAAATTCAAGCCATAACAATTTTCATGACAGATTTTATTTGTTAGATCAGGGTCTTCAAAATCTTCAGTGTGGATGAACAGGTAAGTAGAGAATGTGTAATGAAGTATTGGAATCTTTTATATTCCCAGGTATCTTTTTATTTACCTCAGAGTAGGTGGTAAATCACAGTTCCACAAAGACAAGTAATCAGATTATTTGGAGATCTTTTTCTCCTTTGAGGTGTAGAGATACGGTATTCTATTTTCAGAATATGTATAGAGAAAATTCATTTTTCATAATGTTAACCTAGCTTCTAAATCTTGTCCTCAGACAGTAGACTATTATGTTCAAGATGAGTTTTATTTAGAAGAAAAGCAAAAAGTTTTGTCTTTAAAAACTTAATGAGATGTTGTTCCTTATTCCTTTTTACCATAAGTGAGTATATTTAGCCCACTGAGATGTTCAGTGTGAAATCAGTAAGAATTTAGAATCGTCTTCTTTAATTAACAAAAGACTGAGTAATTGAGTGTAATACACTATATATTTTGTTGGTATTCTTTCTACCAAGTAGACTTTATCATCTTAGGTTATGGGACCGAGTGCCTTTTCAGGGGCCAATCAGTTCTCTGCTTTCATTACATTGGATTTAATGTTCTTGAGAAGGATCGGATAATCCTAGCTTCCTTATCAACAGTTAGTCAACCTGTAGTGTAGACTATGTGTAATTGAGCTGATTGCAACTCTACAAACCTTTTTGTTATCTTCCTCTAGAATCTTCTCCAGGTGTGACAGAAGTAACCATCATAGAAAAGGCACCTGCTGAACGTCATATGATTTCTTCATGGGAACAAGTAAGTGTTGTCACAGAATCCTCCTCTCCCTATGAAGGCCATCAATGCCCTCAAGGAGGAAAAATTAGGGCAGAAAACCCATTCCTATGTCAGATCACAGCTTCCTTCCATTCCATGCCATTTCCTTTTTATTTAATAAAGTAATTTTACTGGATTAAAAATTTGCATACCACAGAATCCACAAACTTAAGTAGAATGCAATATTCAACAAATTCCAGCATATTAACAGAGCTGTACAACTGTAACCATAATCAAACTTAAGTCATTTTCATTATCTCACATCAGAACACTTTATCCAGTAGCCATCATCCTCTAATCCCTTCCCCCCTCATCTGGGCAATCACTAAACTCACTTTCTACTCTTTTTCTCATCTTCAAAATAGACCATGGACATAACAACAAAGAGTCCAGCATATCCAGAAAATTATAAATTCCACAGAGTGAGCTCTCACACCACATTAGACCAGAGACCAGAAGCAGATACATACTCATTCCATAAAATTTCTCAGCATAAAGTATCACCCCTAAGCCCTGTCACCTGTGAATGCAGTGACTATTTAACTATTTATACAAAAAATAAATATCAAGGGAAAAAAACTGTAGTAAGCATCACGCTGGGTAGAGCTTAACTATTAACCAGATCCATTTCTAGTGCATCCTAGTTTTCCTATGACCTTTCATTCATTTATTCAGTAAAACTTCATCGTCTAAAATAGTCAAGGCAGTGTGCTTGCTGTTGAGCCCTGGTTACTCATTGGTAATTTTTTTAGAAGTCTCTTTTCTTACCGCTTGATCATACTGTTTTAAGACAATGTAGATTACTATAAGCATAATTATAAATTAGATTGAGTGCTATGAAAGAAGTAAAGGGAGAACTGTCCAAAGGCCTAACTTAGTCCAGTGGTGAGAAAAAGTTTTCCCAAAGAAGCTACAAAAGATTGTCAAGTAGGCAGATGGGATGCAGATGAAAGAGATTTCAGTCTCTGTAAAGGATTGAGGATAGGAAGGATTATTTTATTCCAAAAATGTAAAGAAAGAGCAAGGGAGAGGTCAGCGAGGACCAAGACATATGGACATCAGGAGTTTGTTCTACATCTTGGGAACAGAGGGTAGCCAACAAAATGTTTTAAGTAGGGAACTGAGAAAGTTCTTTTCTTTAGGAAGATCACCATGATTATAGGATTGCAAATGGACTTGATTGGGGAATGATCAAATTAGGCTAATTAGTATATTCTTTACCTCACATATGTGTCATTTCTTTAGGACAAGAACCTTTAAAATCTTTTATTTTGGAATACACATTATTAACTATTCATCATGTTTTACAATAAAACACCAAAACGTATTCCTCCTAATATATTAACCAGTATCTCCTCTTTCCCTAGTCTCTGGTAATCATTCTCCTGTAATTCTATAACTTCAACCTTTTTTTTTTTTTTTTTTTTTTTTTGGTATAGAGGATCAAACCCAGGACTGCGAGCTTGCAAGGCAGGTGCTTATACCGCTGAGCTAAATTGCCAGCCCCCTAACTTCAACTTTTATAGATGCAAGTGAGATCAAAGAGTATATTTGTCTTAGTGTCTAGCTTGTTTTGCATCATTATTAAAATGTCTATAGCACCCAAAACAAATTTACAGATCCAACAGTCTCTCAAAATTTCCATGTCATTTTTTATAGAAGTAGTAGAAAACAATCCTAAAGCTCATATTAAGCCTGACTAGCCAAACATATACATCTTGACTAAAAAGAATAAAACTGGAGACATCAGAGTGAGTGATTTCAAAGTATGTTACAAAGCTATAAAAAAAAAAAATTCTGGCATAAAAATAACCCGTCAACCAATGTTGAACTCTTATAAAGTGGTCAGTCTTGTCAGAGCCATTTTATAGTGCTTCTGTGGTTGACATTGTTACAGGTAACATTGAGAAAAAATATGATTGGAAACATTTCTCTTGATCCATTATAGGGTTAAGCTAGCCTTTTAGGAAAACTGCCCTTGGGGCTCTTGTCTAGGGTGGAGTGCCCTTAAGGCTGTGATATATTATGTCACTCACTTGAAGCAGTTTCTCAGGTGTACCCTTTTTTGTGTCTTGTTATTATATATTTTCCACATCTCTAGACCTTACACTTTTGTCCTTATTTTACCTACTACACTGTGGCTTATTTATGTGGAACTTGCTTTCTGTAGTTTCTTTGAGGGCTGGAGTATGCAGTGTATCTCACTGGAATGTAGTCTGCCTCCTGGGCACTTGGGTTCCTGTTCAGCTTAGACTGATACTTAGAAGACTGCAGTTGTAGGGCTAGATGAATAGCCTTCAGAGGTCTGCAAGAATTAAACAGTAGGGGGCTGGGGATTTAGCTCAGCAGCATAAGTGCCTGCCGTGCAAGCAGGCAGTCGTGAGTTTGATCCCCGGTACCGATAAAAAGGAAAAAGACAAAAAACAAACAAAGAATTAAACAGTAGGAATGAGAAAAAGAGATTTTTAACTAACAAAGAGTTAAAAAAAAATGATCCTCAGACAGATCCGTGGTGTGACTTAAAAATTAGTTAATTATTTGTGTTCTTCAAAATGCATTACAGTAAAAGGCTCTCTATCACTGAGCAACATCCCTGGCACTTTTTTTTCCTTAAGACAAAGCCTGGCTAACTTGCCCAGGTTGGCCTTGAATTTTCAGTCTTCCTGCCTCAGCCTCCAGAGTAGCTGGAGGAATATGCCATGGAGTCCTGTGTAGTTTCATGCTTTTGAGTGTTGTTTTTAAGTCGTTCATCCATTTTCAGTTGATCTTCATATATGATGATATATACAGGTATAGATTCTGTAGCATGTACATAGCCATTTTTCCAAACACCGTTTATTAAAAAGATTGTCTTTTCTCCATTGTGTGTTCTTGCCATCTATGTCAAAAACTGGTAAATATATGGATTTGATTGCAGGCTTTTAGTTCTTCTGTTCCATTGTTCTTTGTGTCTGAGTGTGTATCAGTCCAGAGTGTGTTTGAGTTATGATAATGCTTAATGCTTTGAAGACATGTATTTTAATGCTTCAAATATTGCTCTTTTTGCAAAAGATTGTTTTTCCTATTGGGCAGTGGGGTCTTATTTGGTTCCATTGACATTTTAGGATTTTTAAAAATTTCTGTGAAGAATGTCATTGATAGTTTGATGGGAATTACGTTGAATCTGTAGATTGCTTTGGGTAATATGGACATCTTACCAATGTTAATTCTTCCAGTGGATATAGATAAGCTATATTTCCATTTTGTGTTTCTTTTCTACAATTCTTTTATCAGTGTTTTCTAATTTTCATTGTCAAGAACATTTCTTGGTAAAATTTATTAAATATTTTTTGTATCTTTTGTGAATGAAATTGTTTCTTGATTTATTTCTCAGCAGTGTCATTACTGATATATAAAAATCTGATTATTGTGTGTTTTGTGCATTGATTTCATATATTGCAACTTACTAAATTTGTTTATAAATTCTAACCTTTTTTGGTGGAGTCATTAGGTGTTCTAGTATATAAAATCCTGTCATTTGCAAAATTAATTTGATCTCTTTCTTTCTTATTTAGATTCGTTCATTCTTTCTTTCCTTCCTTCCTTTCACTTGCCTTTTTGATCTGGCTAAGTCTTCTGAATACTTTATGAATAAAAGTGGTGGAAGTAGATATTCTTACTTTGTTCTTGATCTTTAAAAATTTAACCTTTTTCATAGTATCAAGAGCTTCATTGCCGAGGTACCTAATTTTTTAAAGTTTTAATTATGAAGGGAGAATGAATTTAATCAAATGTTTTTTCTGGATCTATTGAGATGATCATAAGGCTTTTGTCCTTTCTTCTATTGGTTTGATCTACTATATTCAATGATTTGTATATGTTAAAGCAGCCTGCATTTCTTGTATGAATACCATCTTATCATAATCTTTTAAATGTGATGTTGGATTTGATATATTGGTATTTTTGAGAATTTAGTGTATATCACAGATATCAATTGGTTGTTTCCACTTTTGTTGTACCTTTGCAGGTTTTAGTATAAAGGTAATCCTGGCTTTGTAGGATGAGATTGGAGTTCACTGTATTTCAATACTTTGGAATGGTTTGAGAAGACTTGGTATTAGTTTTTCCTTAAAGCTTTGTTAAAGTTCTACAATGAAGCCGTCTAGTCCTAGGCATTTTACTACTGATTCAGTGTCTTTGTTTATTATGCATCTGCTTGGGTTTTTTATGTGCCCTTGAGTCTATTTTGTTTGGTTATAAATGTCTAGAAATGTATCCATTTCCTTTTAAGTTTTACAAGGTAGTTGTACATAATAGCTCCAGATGATCATTTGTTGTTTCTATGTTGTTTCATGTCTCCTTTTTCATTACTGATTTTACTAGAGTCTTCTCTTTTTTTTTTTTTGGTTAGTCTAGCTACAGTTTTTGTCAGTTTTCTTTTCAAAACACCAACTGTTTCACTGATCTTTTATATTGTTTTTTTTTAGTCTCTTCTGTTCTGATCTTTGTTATTATTTTTCTTTTAGTAATTTGGCTTTAGTGTATTCTTGCTTTCCTAGTTTCTTATGTTGCATTTTTAGGTGGTTATTTTTTTGTAATCTATTTTTTTATGTAGGCAATTATTAGTATAAAGTTCCTTGGTACAGCTTTTGTTGTGGCCCATAGGTTTGTTATGTTATTCTTCATTTTCAATTGTTTCCAGAAATTTTTAAATTTTCCTTTTGATTTCTTTCCTGACCCATTGTTTGGTTAAGGGGATGTTGTTTAACTTTCATGTATTTCTATAATTTCTAAAGTTCTTGTTGGTTTGTAGTTTTATTTCATTGTGGTTAGAGAATATATATGCTGTGGTTTCATTTTCTTTGACTCTGTTAAGACTTGTTTTGTGGCCTAACATATGGTCTAGAATGTAAAATGTCTCACATTTGCTAAGAAGAATTTCATTTCTGCAGTTCTTGGTTGAAATGGTCCACAAATGTCTTTTTAGGTTTATTTGGTCTGAA